GAAGAAACATCTACTTGTACACAAAAGTCTTATAAATTCTATGACAAGTCACATGACAGGGTTTGTGATAATATCGATGTTGAGAAAAATTAAAATTCTATTTGTGTGTGTCTTTGACTTCTTTGTGTTTATATGTTATAGACATTATCCTAACTGCTAAAAAGTGAAAATCCAAACCAACTAAAATAAAATCAAATTTATATTTTACTTTGAAGGATATGAAAAAGAATTAGAATCAATCTTTTGTAGAAAATCTTGTTCATTTGTAACAATGAAGAGTTCTCATTTTTTCTTACTTCTTTCCCAAACTCTTTTCCTGGGTGCATGTGATTTTCTGAAATCCATGGGCTCTATAAAGTAGCAGAGAAAAAAACTGTTATTTATTTATTTATTGCAAAAGTCTTATAATTTCTGTGACAACTCACATGACAGATGGGCTTGCAATAATATCAATGTTTCGATGATCATTTTTCTCTTTCCTTCAACCAGACCCAGCTCTGGTGCCCAGGATCACAATGCCAGATTCCTGCCTGGCTCTCCCTTTTACTCTGCGTGTGAATTTGTAAGTGACCCAAAACATTACTGTCTCCAGTTTCCTCATCTGTTAAAGCTGGTATAACAAGTTTGTCTCCCTGCTAAGGTTTTTGTGAAAACAAAATGAAGCTTTATTTATAAAAGCCCTGTGAAAAATCACAAGTAAGCCAAAGATTTAACTATAACTTGAGTTTGACAGTCATTGGGCTGAAGCTATTTTTTTCCATCAGTGATTAGATAGCAGGACAAATTATTATATGAAGACTTTCCAAGTTTTGTGCTAATGACAATATCATCAACAAATAGTGAAATACTAGGCTTATTACGTTCTGTAAAGACCAAATATATTATTTCAACTCTTTAGCATTAATAGATAAAATAGCATGTAATAAAAAAAGCTGTCATTTACTAATGTATTATTGCTACATTTTCATACATCAATTGGATTGGGCTCATCCAGTTAAACAACAACTTATAATGCCTTTTTGCCCTCTTTCATATCCCAATAGGGTCAAAGAAGTTAAATGCTCGAAATGGTTTCCTCCAAATAATTGAATCAATGCGTATGGAGAATGTCAGAACAAGATTCATCAGGAATACAGAGCTCTGGATTTAGACTCTGGGTATTTGTATTCAGGGCATTTGTCAATAATCTTAATATCCTTACATGGTGCAATCTCAGAAGCTGAGCACATCGCTTTTTTTTTTTAAAATTCTCACCCAAGGATATATTAATTGATTTAAAAAGAGAGAAAGGAAGAGAAAGAGAGAAACATTCATCAGTTGCCTCCCACGAATGCCCCACCAGGGATCGAACCTACAACCGAGGTATATACCCCGACCATGGATTGAACGTGCAACCTTTTGGTGTATGATATGATGCTCCAACCATAGAAGCCACCCAGCCAGCGCAGGCAGCTGACTTCTTGAGTCTTTCCTCCTTCACTCGACTCTAATGAGTCAAGGTTATTGGTCACTGCACAAAATAAGAGGATTCTTCAGGTTTCTCAGTGCGTGACCAATGAAGTGACTCAGCAGGGAATGCCCTAATAAGAAAATTTGGAAAGATCTCAAAAGCCTATGGAAATCTGCACACAGGCTACTCTGGTCTGCCCCTCTAAGTCCCCTGCCTTGTAGGATAGTGTTCTTTTATCTGTCACCAGAGCAAGGGACCCTCTGCTCTGTTTGAGCCTTACCTTTCTACGCTTCTCTCCTCTCTCTCTCTCTCTCTCCCCCCCTCCCCCGCCTTGCCCCGTCTATTGTCATTTCACACTTCCTTCATCTGCTGTTTCATATGTGGGGAGACATCAGAAATCTTGTGCTGAAGACAGTGAGTCTCTTGTCTCCCCCAGGCCCCCTTAAACTGTTTGCAAGGCTGAGAAATCATCTTCTCTTGTGTCTGAGCCCCAAACCTACTTCAGGATCACCTTTTAGAACACTTTGCCTACACTAAGATACAAGTTAGAAAGTGTACTCTCTAAAAACTGATGTAAATTTATGTTTGACTTTGATAGATCTACTGGGACAATTAGAATAAACAATTAAAATATTCGTCCTTTATAACATCAAAATTGGGTATAAGTTCCATTCATTTTTAGGTCTTTCCCTAGTGTGTTTTCCTAAATAAGCATGTTTCCAATATCCTGTAAGAAAGTAGGAAGGGACACCAGTCACCAGTCTGTGCCCTAAAGAGCTACAGATGTCATGGCAACTCAAGCCGCACACAGGGTTGAGGAAATAACATTTTGAGCTCTAATTTTGCGAAGGATATAATGAAGAATCCAGGACAGTAGCCTTATCTTTCTCTTTATCTCCATGAGACTTTGTAGGTGACCCTGAAAGATTTTTGTGATTCTGTTCTGTCACTTAGAAACAAGGATAACAATATCCATCCTGCTTACCGCTCAGGGTTGTTGTAAAGGAAAAAGTACAGTACTACTTCCAAAGATCCTTTGAAAAATGAGTATATATGTCATGACTTGCTAAAGAACTCTGTAAAAAAAAAAATACTTTGTGCTTCAGAACCCTGAACTCTTTTATTTTTGCTAACACTAGAGAGTTGGAAGAATTGTGTTTGGACATAATTCAGATTTTGAGATCAGATGACAAAATAACCTTCCAATAAAGAAATATTAGGTTTCTGTTCTCTATAGAAATTCAGCACTTTATAAGAATAGCAACTAATTCACTTTAAAAGAAAGTCATCACTTTCCTAGCATATTTCTGCTATACTGTCAATATAAGGTACATATGTTGACTAACAGGACCTATCAATAGACAGCATCTTCAAAAGATACACATATGTTTATTTAATAATTATGTGTATAATGATTTCTTACTTCCTGCATTTCCCAAAAAGGTCAAGTAAAATAAATGCAGAGAATGGGATCCAGGACAAACTGGATCCACGGTGCAGCATGAACTCGGAACAGATGCCTCAGGAGACAGTAGCTCTTAGTTCAGGTCCCTGCAGCCCACGCCTTGAGCTCCCACGTCCTTACCAGGTGCCCTCGTCAGTGCTGAGCTGGAAGCTTTGGGGGGCTCGTCATCATCACTGGATTCTGTGGAGTCATCACTGCTGATCACTGCACAGAGGACAAAAACCCTTAGGGCCTCAGGGTGGGGCCAAGGAGCCCACGGACAGGAAAGCCCACGACAAGAGCACTAGAAAGACTTAGAAGCCAAGATAACTCAGGTCCCCCCGGTCTGTGCCCTAAGGTGTGTGACCTGCAGGCTCCTCCAGGTCCTGCACGGAAGGGGTGAGGTTCAGGCACAGAGGGCAGCTGTGCCCGTCCTGCAGCCCTTCTTACCCCACGGTCGCCCTGTCTCCCGCCCCCACCCTCTACCTCCGGTCCCCATCCCGCTTTCTACCTCAACTCCTATGTTCATTCTACCTCTTACCTCCACCCTCATTCTCCCTGTTACCGCCACCTTTACTCTACCTCTTCCTTCATTCTCACCTTACTTCTTCGCTTGCCTCTTGGCTCAGCCCATGTCCCCTCATTGGGCCTGTCTTCCTGGCGATGGTGTCTCTCCATATCTTTTTTCTCTTCATTGGTTTCTTTCTCTACCTCCTCTCAAAACTATTTTGGCTCTCATATTTTCCCTTTTAAAATCTTATTTTCTCTTTTCTTCATCTCCTAACGCCATACTTCATTCTCTTGCTTTAAAAATAGTCTCTCGGACGATAATACTTATTCCTGCAGTTTCTGTCTTTTGGTATTTTTCCCGGGAACCCCCTTCTGCTAAACTCACAGCTAAGGTGCTGGTTCCCTCCTCCCCCTCCTGCAGGCTGCAAGGTCGCCTGGATCTCTTGGATGGACCCCGATGACATGTCCCAGACCCTTGCCCCGGACCTGAGATTCACATCACACATCCTTTCAGCTGGTCTTACCTATTATGTCAGACACCCGGTTACCTGTAGTATTTGCTTGGGTTTGCCTTTCATCTTTTGAATTAAAAAATGAATTTTCTTTTTGTATATCCACCAGACACACAGAACAGGAATTTAGTTTGATTCTGGGGTGGGCTAGCTCTGCTCCTGGACCAAATTTTAATAAATAAGGAATTTCAAGTGTCTCTCCAAAGGGTCAGCTCACTGCCGTCAAGCCCCGCCCCCCCCTACCCCGGCCTCCCGCCGCGGGGAGCGCTCCCCGCCCGCTCCTTTCCTGCCACCTGGCTTCTCCTTCCCTTGTGCCTCTCTTAACTCTGGGGTTTTTAGTTTTTACTTTATTTTTTTACCTATTCTTCTTTGTTGATGATTTATTTTTGCTTTTCCAAAAATAAAAATCATAATTGCAGTAAGACATGCATGGCTAAAAATAGGTAAATCATAAATTTTGAATTGTTACAGAGGAAATATGCCTGATTAACTACCACTTTGGTTAAGGAATAGAAGGTTACTATCACCTGGAAGCCTCTTAGTGATGCCTGTCACCAACTGTCCGCACTGATCTTGCTCATGTTAACCCTCACTTTGACTTCTAACATCACAGATGATTAAGGGTGCCAGTTCTGAAATTTACATAAATTTGTATAAATGGAATCATGCCTTCTCTCTGTGTGTCATTTTGGTTGTAGGAATTAGACTTATTTTCTCAACATTATGTGTATTAGGTCATCTTTATTTGTTTTGCATATGTTTTCTCTGCTATGTAGTATTATATTATAGGAATTATCCATTAAAAAAACCATAGGAAGCCCTGGCTGCTGTGGCTCAGCTGATTGAGTACCAGCCTGCAAACCAAAGGGTTGCTGATTCGATTCCCAGTCAGGGCACAGACCTGGGTTTCGGGCCAGATCCCCAGTTGGGATTGAGTGAGGGGCAACCACACATTGATGCTTCTCTCCCTCTCTTTCTCTTCCCTTCCCCTCTTTCTACAAATAAATAGTAAAATCTGTGAAAAAGGAAAACCATTGGAAGATTACACCAAACTGTTTTCCAAAGTATATGCAAAGGCAGAGATTTAGTGGCGCGAGTTTGCCCAGTGGGAAGGTGCGCGAGGGGTGGGAAGACGTGGCCGCGGCGGTGTCCTTTCATCCCCACTGCGCAGTACGGGCCTGCTGCTGCGGGCCACAGGACAGTGCTGGGTTTTAAACAGTAGAGCCGCCTGACCTGGTTTGAATTTTTGAAAACCCATGGACCTGACGTGCAGAGAAAGGGCTGAGGGGAGCAAGGAGGAGGACGGAGCCCAGCAGCAGACCGTTCCTCTACTGAAGTGAGAAGCCATGGGGCCCGGGTTAGAGCGAGTGCGCTGGGGATGGAGGGAAACGGCCAGGCTGGGAGATTTCAAAGTTGACTTTGACAGAAGTGGCAAATGAACTCATGGTGTTTCAGTCCACCAAGTTGTGGGGCCCTTTCTAACTCAGCAGTAGATTAGTGGTACAGCCTTCACATAGACATGCCGGTTAGATCTTTGGGCACTTGGTCAAAATGAGCCCAGGTGACAGGTCTGGGCTGGAGATGTGCACTTAGAAACCAGCAGATCATAACTGGTGACTGAATCCACGGAGAGAGTGAGATGCCTGGAAAGGGGCCTGTTTTTATCTGAGAAGGGCTTCGGGGACATTTTGATCACTGTGGACAGCTTACTTTCTCAATGACGTTAGGAACAGACCCTTGTGCCTTCTTTCCTGTGACTGTTTCCTCACACCAGGCAATGCTCTGTCCTCTCTCTCTCTGCCTGGTCCACTCTACCAGCTGTGCATTCATTGTCCTTTACTCATTCTTGACATAGGTCTCTTTGTGCATTGGTCCATTTTTCTATTTACTTGTATTAATTTCCTTCTGTATCTTTCTCTCTTCATACTCATTTCTCCATACTTTTTATCAGTTTCCCCCAGGACTCAGCAGGGTCTAGGGTGATTCAAAGGAGGAACCCAGGACACAAGAAGGTGTCGAGAATGAAATCCTCCTTCTCTGTGTCCCCAGGTCTCCCCGCCTACTCTAGGCCTGATTTTTTAGGTTATCCCAACCCTGTTGTTTCCTGCTTTCTTCCATTCTATCCCTACTCCTTAATTAGTAATGAGACCCACATATTCCTCTGTATCAATTTTGGCTTTCCATATACTGTCCTGATCTCAAGCATTGAAATCATCCCTCAAATTCTTCCCCGGTGCTTCTGTTCCTGCATCAAGTCCCGCCCCCCCCTCCCCGTGCCACTTCATTTCTAAAGGTCCTCCACCTGGGCTTCCTCACTTGAAAGTCTAACCAGCAGCATCACCCATGACTTCCACGTTCCTGTTATAAATAACTTCTAAAAATGAAGTGCAACTTATTTCTTTTCACCATCTCCACGACATGGCAGTGTTTGGATTCCATGCCAATATATGTGAACTCTATCTCACTCTTGCACTTTGTTGTTTGGTGTCTCCCAGTCCACCTTCCCCATCGTCTCTCTGCAGGGACACCCCTCCATCGGAGAGCTGATCTCTCTGTCTCCCCGGCCTCTCCCACCTGTTAAAAGCAGCCAGAGGCTGTGCACAGGCTATGCGTCCTGGGTGGTATTAAGGTGGGTAGAAGGTGGTTAGTATGGGAGGACAAAGGAAAGCTTTTGCACTTGCAGAAAAACAAAGATACTTAGATCATTAAGGTAAGGTAGGCAATAGTTACTTTCTTCATTAGGGGCGATGGGCTGGGTGTCTCGCTTCTTGCATCTCCATTACGCCGTTGGATAGGTATTTGTCTGCAGGACTCAAATAAAAAACACAACAGCGGCCTTTCTCTGCCCTGTTACCATGTGATTGCACTTCACCAACTGCTCTTTCCTTCTCCTGTTCCTGCTATAGCCTGACTGCATATATTGCCACCTTCACCCATATGAACCTTCTCCCTGTGTTTTCTCTATGCCCCTCAGAAGTTCTCCCCCAAGCTCCCAAATCCACTCAGAACTCAAGTCCCACCTACCTTTCTCCTTTCCTCTTAGCAAATGAGAATCAGTTTTTATCTGTTTGCAATGACTTTGTTCAAGGCTTAGTTGGGTATCGGTGTTCCCCATACTCTTTTCTTGGTTACTTGCTTGGTGACCAATTTTATTTTGGATCTCTGAGGAGAGAGAGGAAATGAATTAGAGAGCTTCATCACAGCCCAGGGATATCATCTCAAATTTACAAATTTAGGAATTTTCAGCCTTCTGGTTACCCAGAACTCAGGGTCCTAGTCATGGTGAACAAGTTCAACACCATCCCTGGGACAGAAGAGAACCCCCAACAAGGGAGTCCTTTTATTTCCCACACAGAAAGAAGCCACCCAAATGTCAGTATAAAGGCATCATGGAAGTATCCTGAGCCTGTTAGTTATGTAAAAATCAATACATGATGGCTGAGAAAGCATGTATCAAGTAATGGAAGTGAAATGTGTTTTCTGAGATTAAACCCTTGCTCAACGTATCATTGGCAAATATGTTCTCCCATAGAGTCAGTTCCCTTTTCATTTTGATGATGGTTTCTTTAGCCATGCAAAAGTTTTTAAATATGATAGAGTCCCATTTATTTTTTTCCATTATTTTCCTTGCCCTAGAGGACATATTGGCAAAAATATTGCTACATGAAATATCTGAGATTTTATTGCTTGTGTTTTCTACTAAGATTTGTATGGTATCGTGACTTGTAAGTCTTTTCCATGTTGAGTTTATTCTGGAGTATGATGTAAGTTGGCAGTCTAGTTTCATGTTTTTGCATGTACAATTCCAGTTCTCCCAACATCATCTATTGAGGAGGCTATCTTTACTCCATTGGATGTTTGTGCCCTCTTTGTCAAATGTTTATTGACCACAGAGACATGGGTTTATCTCTGGGCTTTCTATTCTGTTTTATTGATCTACTTGTCTGTTCTTATGCCACTACCAGATTGTTTAGTTACAGTGGCCTTGTAGAGTAGCTTGATACCAGGTATTGTGATCCCTCCAACTTTGCTCTTCTTTCTCAAGATTTTTGAGCCTATTTGGGTTCTTTTTTGGTTCCATGCAAATTTTTTAGTATTTGTGTTAGATCTGTGAAATATTCCATTCATACAGAACTCATATGACTCAACACCAGGAAGGCAAACAATCCAATTTAAAAAATGGTCAGAGGACTTGAATGGACACTTCCCCAAAGAGGACATACAGGTGGCCCATATGAAAAAATGCTCAGCATCACTAGCCATCGTAAAGGTGCAAATTAAAACCTCAATGATCAGAATGGCTCTCATTAATAAATCAACAAACAACAAGTGTTGGTGAGGATGTGGAGAAACGGGAACCCTAGTGCACTTTTAGTGGGAATGCAGACTGGTGCAGCAACTGTGGAAAACAGTATGGAATTTCCTCAAAAAACTAAAAATGGAACTGCCTTTTGACCCAGCAGTTCCACTGCTGGGAATATACCCTAAGAATCCTGAAATACCAATTCAAAAGGATGCATGAACCCCTATGTTCATAGCAGTGTTATTTACAATAGGCAAGATTTGTAAACTGCCTAAATGCCCATCAGTTGATGAGTGTATTAAAAAACTGTGATACATTTACACAATGGAATACTATGCAGCAGAAGAAAAGGAACTCCTACCTTTTGTGGCAGCATGGACGGAACTGGAGACTACTATGCTAAGTGAAATAAGCCAGTCATTGGAAGTCAAATGCCATATTATCTCACTTATAAGAGAAATCTAATGAACAAAATGGAACCAGAGCATAGAATCATGGAATAAACTGATAGCTATAAGAGTGGAGGATGGAGGTGGGGATGGTTTGAAAGAAGGTGAAGAGAGTAGTCAAAGAACATGTATGAAGGACATAGACAATGGGGTGGGGAATGACCATGGAAGTTGGGTGTGGGCTGGGTGGAGACAGGTGAAGGGGGTAAAAATAGGGAAACTGTAATAGCATAAGCAATAAAAAAGAAATGTGTTTTCTGACATGTTGAAACTATAAGAAAAAAAACAGGAACTTCCTCAGTATAGAAGTAAGATCCTGTAAGTGTCCAAATATGTAAAAGAGAAAGTTCAAGAGCTTTAAATTTTTGGCCAGGCAAGAGAATGATGCAATTAATTGGGTCAGGTGGATGCACTTCCCAAAGATACATTAGAGGTCACAGGAGGAACTAGAAAAATACATGCTGGGGCATGGGCAAATATCAGGAATAAAGGTAGGTCCTGGCTGGAATGGCTCAATAAATTAATCTCCAGCCTGAAAAACAAAGGGTCACTGGTTTGATTCCCAGTCAGGGTACAAGCCGGGTTGTGGGCCAGGTCCCCAGTAGGGGACGTGCGAGAGGCAACCACACATTGATGTTTCTTTCCCTCTCTTTCTTCCGCCCTTCACCTCTGTCTAAAAATAAAATAAATAAAATCTTTTTAAAAAAATGAAGGACATGCTTTGAAGCTACAAACAAGGAGTGCATATTGCAATGCTGAAGGATGTTCCCAAGATGCCTGGACCAGGGACCCAGGAGGCTGCCCAGGAGAGGAGGCCAGGAACCAGCAAAGGAGCCTTGTAAGTAGGTGATCCAGTAAGTGCGTGTTGGGGGGGAAGGCGGGAGGGAATAAACCAAAAAGCCTGGGGATGGGTATATTAGGAGAAAGAGACTAGGCTGCTGGTGGGCCCCCACTGCCTAGGGGTGGTGGCAGAGGTACCTGCTGGGACAATACACCAGTACTTATAAAACTACAAACCTGTAATAGTATCTTTTTAATGTCTAGTAAATAAACTTCAAATTACTTAGCATTGGATGCCAGACCTTCCAAAATCTTTTTCAAATTTATCCTTTTTTTTACATTTTATTTTTAAATATATTTTATTGATTATGCTATTAGAGTTGTCTCATTTTTTTCTCCCCTTTATTCCCCTCCACCCTGCACCCTTCCTCCTACCAGCATTCCACCCCCCTTACTTCATGTCCATGGGTTGTACATATAAATTCTTTGGCTTCTCCATTTCCTATACTATTCTTAACCTCCCCCTGTCTATTTTGAACCTGCCATTTATGCTTCTTATTCCCCACACTTTTTCCCTCATTCTCTTACATCCCACTCCCCTCTGATCTCCATGTCTGTGATCCTGTTCCTGTTCTAGTTGTTTGCTTAGTTTGTTTTTGTTTTTGTTTTATAGGCTCAGTTGTTGATAGTTGTGAGTTTGTTGTTGTTTCACTGTTCATAGTTTTGATTTTCTTCTTTCTCTTTGATAAGTCCCTTTAACATTTCATATAATAAGGGCTTGGTGAGGATGAACTCCTTTAACTTTACCTTATCTGGGAAGCACTTTACCTGCCCTTCCAGTCTCAATGACAGCTTTGCTGCACAAAGTGATCTTGGATGTAGGTCCTTTCCTTTCATGACTTGGAATATTTCTTCCCAGCCCCTTCTTGCCTCTAAGGTTTCTTTGAAATCAGCTGATAGTCTTATGGAAACTCCTTTGTAGATAACTCTCTCTCTCTTTTTCTCTTGCTGTTTTTAAGATTCTCTCCTTATCTTTAATCTTAGGTAATGTAATTATGATGTGCTTTGGTGTGTGCTTCCTTGGGTGCAATTTCTTTGGGACTCTCTGAGCTCCCTGGACTTCCCAGAAGTCTATTTCCCTTGCCAGATTGGGGAAGTTCTCCTTCATTATTTTTTCAACTAAGTTTTCAATTTCTTGCTCTTCCTCTTCTCCTTCTGACACCCCTATGATTTGGATGTTGGAACATTTAAAGTTGTCCTGGAGGTTCCTAAGCCTCTCCTCATTTTTTTGAATTCTTGTTTCTTCATTCTGTTCAGGTTGAATGTTTATTTCTTCCTTCTGCTCCAAATCATTGATTTCAGTCCAGGTTTCCTTCCCTTCACTGTTGTTTCCCTGTATATTTTGCTTCCCTTCACTTTGTATAATTTCCCTTTGCATAGCCTTCACTTTTCCCTCTGTTTTGCAAACCATACTCAGTCATTTCTGTGAGCATCCTGATTACCAATGTTTTGAACTCTACCTCTCATAGGCTGGCTATCTCCTCGTCACTTAGTTCTATTTTTGGAGTTTGGATCTGTTCTTTGATTTGGGTCATATTTCTTTGTCTTGGCACACCTGTTACATTGTAGGGGGCAGAGCCTTAGATATTCCATGGGACAGAGGGGCGGAGGGGAGACAACTCACATTGTTGTGTTGTCACACTGTATGTGGGGGAAGGGCCAGAGAGGGAACAAAGCCACTTGCTCAGTTCCCAGCAAGCTTTCAGTCACTTCTCCCAATACCCACAAGGAAACTGGGCTCTTCTGGTGTTGATTCTGGGGTGGGTGGGTTTGTGTACCCTCTAGGACCCTATGGGTCACTCAAATGAACACTCTTGTGAGGTTGAGACTTTATCCCACTGCAGCAACCCCCACCAGTTTTTACAGCCAGAGGTTTGGGAGCTTTCTTTTCCCTTGCTGGAACCCTCGGTCATACTGTCTGTTTCTCTTCCCTGTTGTTCCTTCTGGTTTATCAGCATGCAAATGTGGGACCACCTGCAGCTGTCTCACCCACCCAGTCCTCCAGCCAATGCTTGCCAGCCGTCCATGTGTCCTCTCTCCTCGGCTGCCTATCTCTGGCCTTCCTACCAGATTGGATGAATCTTTCTTCTTTAACTCCTTGGTTGTTGGACTTCCATACAGGTTGATTTTCTGGCAGTTTTGGTTTTTTTTGTTTTTATATTGGTTGTTGTTCTTCTTTTAGTTGTGCAAGGAGGCAAAGTATATCTACCTATGCCGCCATCTTGGCTGGACATTTTATTTTATTTTTTAATTGTTCAATTACAATTGTCTCCAATTTTCTCTCACCACTCCCCTCCACCCCACTGATCCCCACATTCCACCCTCAATCCGACCCCCTTTGGCTTTGTCCATGTGTCCTTTATACATGTTCCTTGATGACCTTTCCCTATTTACCCCCATTATCCCTCTCCCCCATCCACTCTGGTTACTCTCAATTTATTCGATATTTCAATGTCTCTGGTTATATTTTGCTTCCTTGTTTGTTTTCTTGATTAAGTTCCACTTACAGGTTTTTCAGATTTATCTTGTTTCAATCAACTCCCACAATCTGCTACCTACTCCAAGAGCAAACTTGCTGTCCTTGTGTTACTAACACATGGGCCCCTTTCACATTCCATGCCTTTTCCTGTAGCACCTGCCTTCCTCAGTTCATATAGGTATTTTTCTTGGGAATTCTCCATTGTTATTTGGAGACCTTGGTTGATACCAGACTGTGTTGGAATAAAAACATTTTCAGGCAAGCCAAAACAAATTTATTGGAAGATACTTTCTTTCCTGACTACCAATTAGAAACTATAAACCATGAGTCTCAGGAAAAAGGAGTGACACAGTCCCTTTTGTATAGTGTTAAAAAAAGTCTCTGGTAAGATTATCTGATAAGTGTTTGTTTCACCCCTTGTGGAGAAAGACCTAATACAACCACGTCCCTTCTTTAAGAGCAAGTTTTCCCTTGAGTTAACTTTCTTGTGCATTACTCTGGAAACCTGATGAAGGTGGGCTCTCTTGCATGTTACTAGGCCAATATTTGCTTAGGGTAAAAAATGGCTTGTGACTGTACATACGTAGGTGCAGATGGCCTGAGAGAGACTCTACATGAACTTGAGATATGTTTGGCCTCCCTTCACCATGGTGACTCTTGTATCTTGACTGTCCCTCGTGGGGTCCCTGAAAGCTATAACTACAGAGTTGTTACATGAAACATTGACTGCCTTGAGCGTAGTGTTGCTAAGCCAATGCGAATTTTTCCCCCAAACTAAACTTTCACTTGAGACAGGTAGTAATCAATTTTGTGGACTGCTATGTGGACCACAACAAAGGGTCCCACAGAGGAAGATCAACTGATGTTTTCCAATTGGGATGTTATGTTTCCTGTCATTTATCCTTCTAACTAAATCTGATGCCACTGTGGCTTTGGTTATCCTGTGAGTCTAGATGCCTAGTTAAGCAGACCTTCAGGTGGGTATTGCACTGAAGCCATTGGATCATAAGTTTTGAGAAGCTCATGACATGTTTGTTTCTTAACTCCTGTCGCCCCACTGCTCAACACTGTGTGTGGTACACAGTAGAAGATCAGTATGTACTTGTTAAAAAAAAAAATGGCCCTAGACATCAAAAGGTAGGTAATAAGCCTAATTACCTTTTTCAAAGCTTGTACAGATGTGAGTTAAATCAGGGTATTCCTGCATGTTGGCCTGGCTGAACAGTGTTTCCAGAAGTGGCAGGTCAAATGTCTTCTCCAGTTCATTAAGAACGTTGTACACCACTCTCCGTACAGGGACCAAGTTTCTACAAGATTCTTGACAATCCTTAAAGAACATTGAAGGGAGAAAAATGTAAATATACCTTTCCAAGTTATATAAGAGCCCTGGAAAGTGATTTTATGTATAATGATTTACAATATTCCTATATGTGTATTTTCTCATGTGAAGCCTAAAATCTATATATTTGTATGACTACTAAGTGAAACAAGTAGACCCTTCCTCCCTGAACATATCCATCTGTGAATCTGATCTGATCTCCTCACCCTCTTTTACATTAGAGAGAGGGAGGAGCCATTCTGAAGAATAAAGGTGGCTTCAAAGTTAAATGACATTTGGCCGTTAAAGAGCCTGGCCAAATATTTTAGGAATAGACTTAGCAGGTGCTATTCCATAGAGTGGACAACCTCATCCTTTCCCCAGGACTGGCTTGTCCTGGAAGGGCTCAAGGGAGCCAATAACAATTCTTCCTTTTCATGAACCTGGCCATTGAGAAAGCCAAGTGATAAGGAAATAGAAGATTTGTATTTCTATATCTTCACTTATGTCTTTTGATAAAATTAACCTAAGTTCCAAGACTCCAGAAATAGCAAAACAAAAAAAAGGAAAGCAAACTGAAAACTGTTGGAGAAAGAATAGCAAGTATCTACTTCCTTATTTGTCCAACATGATATTAATTCTCTGTGGGTTTTAATCTCCTCAGATATAATTATTTAAATTGATGTTCATTGAAATAAAATGTGTGAATTATTATTTCATTAAATGAAATCATTAAACTTATTCACCCATCATTAAAATTCCTTTTAATTCCTCTTTTATGCTATATTGCCTATATAACTCCTACAAGAATTATACATCTTGAAGCCTACCAGCTTCAGATACAGCCTATCTCTCAGGGTTATTCAGCAACTCCAGTGGGCACCATGGAGCCCCATTCCTTCAGTCTGGAGCTGGACTGTCTCAGGTGATGCCCTGCTTCTCTTCTCCCTTTTTACCGTATAGGAAAACTTACAGCAGTACTCAAGGAGGTCCCCCCTGAGGAGGCACCTCAGTTGGCTAATGGTTCCCTGATGTTCAATTCCAGGATATCAAAGCATAACTTGTTGGTGCCCATTTACCACATTATGACATAATAAACCTCACTTACTTCATATACTTTATCAGTGATGAATCCACGGTCACGAAGGACTTCAAGGAAAGGAAATGACTTTTTTATTGCATTTGAAATCTCAATCTTATGTCTTTTGAAGTGCCTGAGTGCAGTCTCACAGAGAGGCCTGTTGTTTATGTTCTGGTCTTTTGCAGACATCCTAGAGAGAAAGGATACCATGATAAAATGGTCATCAAGGTTCCAAGATGTTGTGGAGACCATATATTTTATAGATAGAAGTTAGGTTGTGAAGAAACAACATGTAAAATAAGTGATCTTGAGTAGAGCCTGGAATAAATGGAACTGAAGCAATAGATTATGATGTAATTGAAAACCCAGACATCTCAGATTGAAACCGGTGGTGATTATTAGCATATATTGAGTTTGCCAAGAAGTTCATTTGGTTTTTAAAATAAAAATATAAGACACATTTTTCATTTTTACCAATAACTTTACTGAACAACACATTCTCTATTTTGTTCCACTACCTTGTAACTATATTTCAGACAACTTCATAATTCCATCTTCCCAAACCTTGCCTTTTTGAGGAAAAAACTCTTCCAGGTGTTTTTGCAGTCTTCCAGGGAATTGTAATTTTTCCCATTAACAGAATTTCGTAAAGGCTGAAATAAATGGAAATCCAAAAGTGCAATGTCTGGTGAATACAGCAGATGAATCAGAACTTTCCAGCCAAACTGTAGATGTTTTTGCCTGGTCAGCAAAGACACATGTGGTCCAGAGTTATCCTGATGGAAGGTTATGCATTCTCTGTTGACTAATTCCAGACCATTCTCATCGAGAGCTGCTTCTAGTTGGCCTAACTGAGAGCACTACTTGTTAAAACTAGTTGTTTGGTTTTTCTGGAAGGAGTTCATAAAAGAGTACTGAGTCCTATCCAATCTTACCATATATGCAACATCACGTTTTTTGGATGAAGACCAGCCCATGGTGCGGTTGGTGATGGTTCATTTCACTTGCCCCATGATCTCTTCCATTTCACGTTACTGTAATGTACCCACTTTTCATCTCCCATCACAATTTGTTTTTAAAAACAGAATGTTTTTGTTACATTTAAGAAGAGGCTTGTATGCAGAAAGATGGTCAAGAATGTTTCTATTTGCTTATGTGGAACCCAAACATCAAAGCTGTTAACATAACCAAACTAGTACAAATGATTTCAGTGCTTGATTTGGATATTTTGAGTATGTCAGCTATCTCCCGCATGGTATAACATTGGTGGTTCTCAATTAATATCTCATTTTGACCACTATCAACTTCAACTGGTCTATCCAACTGTGGGGCATCATCCAGCGAGAAATCTCCAGCATTAAACTTCAAAATCACTTTTGACATGTTCAATCAGTCAAGCACCTTCTCCATACACTACACAAATCTTTTTTTGCATTTCAGTTTGGTTTTTACCTTACTTGAAATAATAAAGCGTAATATGCCAAAAATGTTGTAATTTTCTTCCACCCTCAATATTAAAACAGCTCCACAAAAATTTACAAAATTTGATTGTTTTTCCAGAGCAAAAAACATATCTTTATAATGGAGATGCTTGGTGGCCAGTCTGTTAACCAACATTTGTCACCCTTGAATGTGTCACTCTGATCCATTTTCCATAACACTGCAGTTGCGAGTGCAGGGAAGGCCCTGCAGCAAGTCCACTGTAGTGAGAATCAGGTCCAGTAGCAGCAGAAACTAATTGGTTTAATGTTCAGGTTTTTTTCACACTTCCAGAACTAACCTCATCATGTCCTCTCAGAGATGACAGCCCCAGCAGGCTGGTACAAGTTCTTTAGATTTTGTGTTCCTAAAACACATACCAGTCTAGCCAAACCCTTTCCACAGACACTAAGTCTTACTTCCAATGAACCTCTCTTCTAATATCAACTCCTTCTATCTTTCACTCAGCCCTAGCGATGCTCTCTGCTTCCAGAATTTATTATCTCTGTATCCCTTTTCTGTTCTCCAATACCTAGTTAATAATTCCTTTTTTAAGTATATTTTATTGATTATGTTATTACAGCTGTCCCAATATCCCCCATTTGTCCCCTCCACCCAGTACCCCCCATTACCTCCAGCAATCCACCCCCTTAGTTCATGTCCATGGGTTGTTCATATAAGTTCTTTGGAGTCTCCATTTCCTATACTATTCTTAACATCTCCCTGTCTATTTTGTGCCTACCATTTATGCTTTTTAATCTCTGCACCTTTTCCCCCACTTTCCGCCTTCTCCTTCCCAGCTGATAACTTTCTAAATGATCTCCATACCTATGATTCTGTTCCTGTTCTGATTGCTTGATAAGTTTTTTTTTATTTTTAGATTCAGTCATTGATAGTTGTGAATTTGTTGCCATTTTAATGTTCATAGTTTTGATCTTCTTTTTCTTTATAATTTTCCTTTTAACATTGCATGTGATAATGGCTTAGTGATGATGAACTCCTTTAGCTTTACCTTGTCTGGGAAGCACTTGATCTGCCCTTCTATTCTAAATTATTGCTTTGCTGATTAGAGTAATCTAGGTTATAGGTCCTTGCTTTTCATCACTTTGAATACTTCTTGTCAGTCTCTTCTTGCCTGCAAAGTTTCTTTTGAGAAATCAGCTGACCTTCTTATGGGAATTCCTTTTTAGGTAACTCCTTTTCTCTTGCTGCTTTTAATATTCTCTTTATCTTTAACCTTTGGCATTTTAATTATGATGTGTCTTGGTGTGGTCCTCTTATGTCCAACTTGTCTGGGATTCTCTGTGATTCCTGGACTTGTATGTCCATTTCCTTCACCAAATTAAGGAATTTTTCTTTCATTATTTTTTAAAATAATTTTTCAATTTCTTGCTTTTCCTTTTCTACTTCTGGCATTATGACTTGGATGTTGACCTATTTAGAGATGTCCCAGAGTCTTCTTATATTATCTTCGTTTTTTGTGGGTTTTTTTTAAGTTTTTCTTTCTGTTCTGGTTGAATATTTATTTCTTCCTTATGTTTCAAATCATTGATTTGAATCCCAGCTTCCTTTTCTTTCTTGTTGGTTCCCTGTAGATTTTTCTTTACTTCATGTTGTGTAACCTTCATTGCTTCCTTCATATATTTGCCATACTCAATGAGTTCTTTGAACATCCTGATCACCAGTGTTTTGAATTCTGCATCTGATAGGTTGGCTATTGTTTAGTCCATTTCACTTAGTTCTTCTTCTGGGGTTTTGTTTTGTTCTTTCAATTGGGCAATATTTCTTTGTCTCCTCAATTTGGCAGCCTCCTTGTGTTTGTTTCTGTGTATTAGGCAGAGCTGATTTGACTCCCAGTCTTAGTAGCATGGCCTATGTTGAAAAGGCACCCGTAAATTGTGTGGGATGGAACATTATGTATTTGTTGGGGGAGGAGGGGGCACTACCCACTCCACTGCTTTTGGGCTCTGTGTAGGGGGAGGGCTCAGAGAGGGGACTGTGCCGCCAGCTGGTTTCTGGAGGTTTCTTGTGCACTTTCCCCATTTCCAGTCACTTAACTTTCTCCATGTATGTGACTGGTGCCCTTCCAGCTGTTGCCCTGGTGTTGAATCCCAGAGTGGGTGGGTTTGTGTGCATTTTAAGACCATGCAGGCCCTTTAAGTGGACTTTCCTGAAAATCTGGCAGTTTTTTTACCTCCCCAACCCCTACTAGTTTTTACAGCCAGAAATTATGGGGACTTATCTTCTTCATGCTGGAACCATAGGTTGTGTGGTCTGGCTGGAGCTGGGATCACTCACTCCCAAGGTATCCCTCCCAATTTTTATCCACCACACGAGAATATGGGCACACCAACACCCAATCTGCCAACACCACCGCTGCTTCTCCATGCCACACCATACCTCTCTGCCCCTCTCCCCATCTCTTCCCCTCCTACCCATCTAGATGAATATGGCTTCTTTAAATCCTTTGTTGTTAGAGTTCCACACAATTTAATTTTCTGACAGTTTTGGGTGTTATCTGTTTTGAGATTTAGTTGAAACTCTTTTTATGGTTGCAATCTTGACCAAAAGCCCTTGATAAGTATTTTTAAATGCATGCTGATATGACAGCTATCACAATACAATCTAAAACAAATTGTTTTTAATGAAGTTAAAGACAACTATGTGCTACTAGAGTCAGCCTGTAGAGAAAACCAAACAAACTTTTTGGCCCCGTGCAACAAAGGACAACAATGTCATAAGAGATGGAAAGAAGAAATTGGAAATACTATAAGGTAAATGTGCTACAGGTGAAGTGGCATAAATTGTATATTGTGAAATCCAGACAGCTACAAAAACATGCTAAAAGAAGTGCATCTCACACCTGTTAGAATGGCTATTATCAAAAAGACAAAAAACTAGTATAGATGAGGATGAGGAGAAAACAGAATCATTGTGATCTGTTAGAGGAAATGTAAATTGGTGCAGACACTATGAAAAATAGTATGGATTTTTCTCCAAAAATTAAAAATAGAACTACCATATGATCTACCAATTCCACTTTTGGGTATTTATTTTTTAAGAAAATTAAAACACTAGCTTGAAAAGATATATGCACCACTGTATATTGTAGCATTATTTAAAATAGCCAAGATATGGAAACAAACCAAGTGTTCATTGATGGATGAGTGAATAAAGAAAATGTGGTATATGTATACAATGGAATATTATTAAGCTGTCAAAAATAATGAATACTTGGCCATTTGCAACAACATGAAAGAACTTCAGGAGCATTATGGTAAGTGAAATAAGTCAGAGGAAGATAAATGCACGTGATTTCACTATCTGTGGAATACAAAACAAAAACTAACAAAAGAAAAAAAAAGAAACACATAGATACAGAAATCAGAATGGTGGTTGCCAAAGGTAGGGGATAAGGAGCAGAGAAAATTGGTGAGGTTGGTGAAGGGGTACACACTTCCAGTTATAAAAGAAATAAGTCATGAGGATGGAATAAACAGCACAGAAACTATAGATAATAATACTGGATTGCATATTTTAAAGTTGCTAGGAGAACAGCTCTTATAAATTATAACCACAAGAAAAAATTTTGTGTAACTATGTCTGGTGATGGATGTTAGCTTGACTTATTCTGTTGATCATTTTGCAATATAAACAAATATTGAATTACTGTGTTTTTGTAACACCTGAAATTAGTAAAATGTTATGTGTCAGTTACACTTCAATAATAA